AGGTTCATACTAACTCCTCTATGCAAAGTGAGTCTCTCTCCAAGCCATTTACAAACTATTTCTCTCAATTTGTCAAACTATTTGCAAATTAATTGTATCCCTCTCTCTCTTTCTTTGTCAAACCATGCATACCTCCATTATTGGAGCGTAAAGAATTCAATCTTCACTAGTACCTTTGTTTGAAATACAATGGAATGAATGTATAAAGTAGTGTAAATCAAGACTCTCAACAAACTCATTCTGATATTATTTTTGTCAGGTATTTTTTTAAATATAATTGAATGAATTTATTAAAAATTGATCACATCTTCTCCTATTTACATTTCTATTGGTTTACATTCTTTTATGGACATCGTTTCTGGGTATTAATGGAAACTAACAGTTACACTTGCGTGCATTTTTTGTTTTGTTTTTAATTGATACATGGAAGTTTTTTTTATACTTGATAATTACTGTAACTATGAAATAGTTGCTAAGAAATTGTCGTAACAATTGGAATATTGCATAACTTTTGACGTGCACTTCCAGTATAAATTGAAAATTATATGATACAGGGATGTTTTGTAGATTATACTAAGAAATTGTTTGGAAGTTTTCAATGGGTATTTGATATATTTGGTGATATATTTGGTGTAGTTATTGACGAAATATGACACTACACGTAATTATTACTCCATTACATTGGAAGTCTCTATTAAAATATAAAATTCATAAACTGCCATAAAATGTTTCCGACACAATATTCATAACCACATGTATTATTCATTGTAGTATCAGACTCTCATCATCATACCCATAAAAGTTTGAAGTAGTATTATATGCTTTGTGGTTTGTGTCAATTATCATGATTTTAGGTATACCTATATATCAGGACTACCGTAATAGAAAGCAGATGGAAGTACTTGGGTATACTAAATTAGGTAATTTATAAAATATACTAATATTTAAACTTGAAGTATATAGTTCACTATATTTGCTCTTGGAAAAATATTCCCTAATTATTTATAAATAAATAGCCTTAATTATATATCTCAGAAATTATATATCATATGCTTTGTGATTTAACCTTAAGTATAATTCTCATTTAGCCTTAATTTGGTATTAGTATAATTTTTATAAGTTTAGTGTAATTGGTTATTACTGTTTTTCAACCTCATTAGTCTAATAATTTTAATTTTAAATAAATTACATGCGATTTTTTTCCGGATATACATGAGGCAAAAGAGTAGAACGTCACAACGCCCATAACTGTTAGGCATAGCATCCCAATTCCCCATCCTAATCCTCTGAACGCGTATGGAAGACAGAAGATAAAAAAATATCAGTTGTATCATATATAAAATTCAATAACATGGCTTTTGTTTAAGACATGCATGGAAGTTGTTAGGAATGGAAGCTATAATAAAATTATAAATTTTATTATGCATGTTTATCAAAAGAATCATTTATGAATTTTTTGTCGAATTCTGTAACACTATCTCTCTTATGTCCTATTTTTTATAAGTCTTCTTAACTTCTAGACCTTATTCACTTCTTTTATTCAAAAGTTAAAATCAAGGCATACAATTAAACAATTTGTCACTCACATGTTATTTCCTATTTTACATATTTGAAAGGACTCTAGGTAAGGAAACATAAACCACAAATCAAGACATGGTAATCGAATTTAAAAATACAATTGCAATTATGAAAGAAAGTATAAAGTTACAATAACATATAAAGAGAGAGGGAGAAGAATCAAAGATGCGTTAAAAATAAGAGAGGAGTAATTTTGCAAAAAGGATAGAGATGTTATTGGGACACATGCAAATGTAGATTTACAAAAAAAAAATATTTTTGTAAAATGGAGAAGAGAGGTTATAGATATCAATTCAAATATGATTATAGAATTAAAAATTATAAATCAATTATTTATAAATGAAAGTTAAAAGCAATAAATGAATGAAAATAATACATTTCAAAATTTATATCTCCTATATATATATATATATATATATATATATATATATATATATATATATATATATATATATATATATATATATATATATATATATATATATATATATATATATATATATATATATATATATATATATATATATATATATATATATATATATATATATATATATATATATATATATATATATATATATATATATATATATATATATATATATATATATATATATATATATATATATATTTTTTTTTTTTGTTGCAAAAATCATACAAAAATATGTTAGTAAATTGGTTCCCTATGTGTGATAACTGATCTTGATATTTTTCTAGAAAATTAAGTCTTTCCTAGAATATGGAATGATATCTTTATAGAAGTCTATATATACACACTAAAAAAATTGTTTAATTAAATAAGTAATATTATTATTTTGTCATCTCCAAAGGATAATGTTTATGTGTATATTAACTTATATGATATACTGATGTGTTTGAATACATTGAACAAAATTTTATATGAATGTTTTAATTCATCTTTGAAATTGTTACAATCAACTTCATTTTTTTGGATAACTTCATTCTTGCTAGCTCTTTGAACATAATAAAGATAGGAGTATAAAAAAAAGTAAGATAGATAATACAAACTAATTTTGATGGTGAGTATAATAGAATATTGATGGTGATACACAACTCCTATTAGCGATGGTTGGTAATTGTCATCTAGTGGAATACAGGCTATCGTAAACTCATTTACACTGCTCAAGAATATATTTTAAACTCCCGTATAGATAATATCCTTTTAGAAATATTTAATATAGATGCACTAACATTATTAGTTAACTAAAATACAAAATAATTTGGAGTAACATAGAAATATTACTATGAACCTACAAGGAGCAATTGGAACACAGTGAAATCTATTAAACTCCCTTTACTATAACACTATTTTTTCTCATTGTTTTTTTAATTAATACTAGCGTTCAGACGGGCACGGAGTGCCCGTCTGTCCGCTTTTTTTAATGCGCACAGCATAGAAAAATAAACGTGTATATATTTTGTATGAAGTATTTATCATACTCATGATTAATTAAAAATAATATTTTTAAATACCCTCAAGCAGTCTTAAAATCAGGATGATAAATGTATATATACTAAAAATACTTTAGTGAATTAAGTATATATTAATGTTACTATTATTTTAAACATACCGAATTAAACTCTCTTTACTATAACACTATTTTTTCTCATTATTTTTTTAATTAATATATCTTTTATCTATAACTTAAATTAACTCAGTTTTTCATATAACTTTTTTTTGTAGTAGCAGTTTTTCATATAATTAAGTTACACTAATTTTATTTCTTACCCCATTTTATATTTTAATGTTTAGTTAATATGCAATCTTTTCATCTATTTGTCCAACATAATTTATGTTTCTTTTTATTAATTGCCTATTTTTTCTTCGTCTTTTTTATATTTTAGTTTTGATTTATATTTTTAACATATGTTTTACAAATAATACTTTTTGGTGTAAACTTCTTTTTTACAAAAACAAATATATTTATTTTAAATCCCGTCCATATTTACCAATATTTTTCAACATAATTAGTGAAATTATGTTGTTTATAAATTGCATATGTGTTTGGCAGTTACATTAAGAAAATGGAAAATAATACCCGTCAGATATCAAGTCAACAACAAATGGCAAGAAGGGCCGAAAATGAAAGGAAGATGAGACAAAATATGAACCTCGAACAAAGAGAAAATTATTTATCGATACGACGTGACAATTATAGGCGGCGAAAAGAGTAAGATAAACAAGCTCAAACATCTTGCACTATGAACAGTCGGAGGAGAGTTCTATTTCAAAATTTTACAAATATGAGATCTCCAATATCACACTTTCAAGGAACTCATGACAATGAAGTCGACCCAAGTAGAATTACACATGATGTTGCACTTGGTTGGTGATGATCAATATAAACATTATAATCGTACTTTGTATAATATTATTTATTTGTCATCCCTCATTTTATGTATTTAAACCCGCAGATCATAATTTCACATCACCTAACCAACGTATCAACAATAGTCACTCTGCTAAGATATTGTTTTACATATGCGAGCAGTAATTTCAACATATATATATATATATATATATATATATATATATATATATATATATATATATATATATATATATATATATATATATATATATATATATATATATATATATATATATATATATATATATATATATATATATATATATATATATATATATATATATATATATATATATATATATATATATATATATTAATTATTATTTTTGTATTAGGCGATATGAATATTGATGAAGCTTTGGAGGATGCAGTAATATGAGATGTTAACATGGAAGTCATAAATGATGGTGCATCATGTCGTCCTCAAGGTATGTTCATAAAAAATTTTGTGCCAAATAATGTAGCTTATACTCTTTCTTATTGAATTTCATAGTTATGGTGGTCTTGGGTTGGTGCTACAAGATGTTGTGGAGGCTTAATTTGGTATGTTTAAAATAATAGTAGCATTAATATATAGTTAATTCACTAAAGTATTTTTAGTATATATACATTTATCATCCTAATTTTAAGACTGTTCGATAATATCTAAAAACAAATGTATTAATTAATCTTAAGTATGATAAAAACTTCATACAAAATATACACGCGTTTATTTTTGTATATTGTGCGCATTAAAAAATTTGGACAGACGGCCACGGAATCTAGTCAATTAATAAATTCAATCTATATACTCTGGGCGTTTTCCAAACAAAATTGACGTCAACTGCCAAGTGGCTTCACATTACACTACCAGACGTGGCAGTTTCCTCTGCTTTTAGCTTCTTACACTACCCACCGCTATACAATCGAATCCAAACAATGGCTTCTCTGTTGCGGCTAAGCATTTTTTCAAACATTTGGTGTACATCGTTTTCTCATGTTTCCCCTTCCTTCACTATACTTCACTGAACTCCTTCGCTCCCCACTTCAATGAGGAGGAATGCCTTCGCCGCTCTCTACCGTCACACCGGCTCCATCTCTATCTCCGCAAGTAATCTTTCACCTAACTTTTTCAGCGATCTCATCGCTTTCAAATACTTTGCTTATTTCATTTGATCATTGCACCCTAGAAAGTTTCTACCGTTTCAAACGCAATTACGCAACTTCCTTTGGATGTTTACAATTTGAATTTACTTGTTGAAATGATAGGATTGAATGTTTATTAGGTCAATAGTGATTTATCGTAGTTCGTGCCATATAGCATTGGTTATATTCAAAATTGAGTTTTCTATTTTGGTTATAGCTTGTTGCTGATGTTGTTGTGGTCTCATTTTGAGAGTGTGAATGGTTTTTGGTTCTAGAATTACGACATGAGAGTGTAGCTGAGATTATATTAGGTAAAAGCGTGCCGCTTGAATATCTGAGAAGATTGGGTTCCTGTTCCCCTTCTTGGCTGTTGCATCAAAATTCGTGAGTGAATTTACTTCCATATACACTTGATTTGATTAATATAAACTAATTTTGTTCAGGTTATGTTTTGTGATCTTCAATTTTATGTTTCTGGTGGATTATGGCACAGATATTCTACTGGTTTCACCAGCGTTCACGGTGAAACACCATCTCCTGATTATGCAAGGAGGAGGAGGGAGTCACTGGAAGATAAATTTGGGCTTGCTCTTGGAACTTACAGCTCTAAAAGTTTCAATGCTATATACCGGTTTGGTCCTTTTTTGGCTTTGTACAGGGCTGCAATTATTTCATTTCATGTGTTCAGGCTTACTATGTGGCAGTTGTTCCTTCAAGACATACAAAAACGAGCAGTTAAGGTAATTGATTATCTGATGCCAATGCTTTCCATAAGCCTATGCACATGCAATTAGCAAGCAAACACACATTGTTATGCATTTGATCGAGAAATAGGCATGAGTAAAAAAAGGCAGCGTAGCTTCTGACTCGGTACTATGGTAGGGTCTAGGAAAGAGTTTGATCCATCCAAGGTATATTATTGATAGCCTTATTTCGTACACTATTTACTAGAGGCTGACTCCACAGCTCCATATTTGCAGTAACTAAATAATTGAAAACCTTAATGTAAATGAAAAAATAATCAGTAAATTGCCTTGATTAAAGAACTTAAACCGGTTACGCTACCTAAAGAAACCTATCAAAGCAACCTCTTTTATTGGAGATGGAAACTGTTAGGGGGGGAAAGGGGAAACAAACTAAACGGAAATGGAATTGTTAATAGCAAATTGAGTGTGTGAATCAACTCAACCTATTATGCAAATTTTATTCGTGCTTATGAATTAATGAATTGATAATGGTGTCTATCATGGACACTAATTTGTCTTCTGTTTCAGTACATAGATGTGATAATGTTATTTTTAGCTCACTGTCTGAAAGCAACATGTATCGCTTAAGTAAAATTTCATGCAAGCAAAGTTCATGATATCGGCATTATAGAATCAAATCATAAATCCATACTTACCAATTATGCTTTGTTGGAAGCGGCTTTCCTTGATCTTGTTCTCAATCTTGAGGATAAAAGTGTTCTTTTTCGCAGTGATGTTGATTATAGTTTCTGTTTCACTGAGATAAAATATATGCACCAAATTGATTTATGTTTTCATGTCCTTCTCTGTCGACATTCAAGAATTTGTCCGCGTGCTTATTTTGTCCCACTGTTTTAATTTGGTCACTTATGTTTGATAATTTATCAGTTTAACACTGTGTATTTATAAACTGCTTGGAATTTTATTCCTTTAATACCTGGTGAATCTAATTGAAAATCGAGTATTCATCCTGTTATGACTGTTTGTTCACATGATCATAAGGTTCTTTTTAACTTACGTTTTTTGTTGCTTAGGTTAATTAAGCTCGGTTTTGTTTGGGTATACTGCGCAGCTTGTTGCCCAAGATACTTTCTCTAAGTTTCTGTTAAAACTCAGTTGCTAGTTAGTAGTTAAATTGTTGTCACAATTAGTTATTGCAAAATACCACCTTCACTCGTATTTGGACCTCTATAAGAATAGAGACTGAATTTTATTCTCATTACATTCAGAAATATAGTCAAGATTGGACTCAAATTTTCTCTGAAAGTTCTTTGTACATTTTCTTACACTTTCTTACCTTGTTATTTCTCAATGACTCCAAATTATAATATGGTTTTATTAGCTGATAATGAGAGGCATGACTTCTTGAAATCCATTCTCTTTCCTTGATATCACCATGTGTCTGCTTTATATTGGTAAAATGTTGGCAAGTAAGACTATTGTGTCTTGTAATGTGCCCTTAAGTGTCAATCATGTATTTAAGCAGTACAGTCTACAAGATTTACCAAACCACATATATTTCTTCCACTGACAATTTTTCCTGCAATAAAGTGCATATTTATTTTTTTAATACTTATTAGTGAAAAAACTGACAGGAATGAACAGTGATGTCAATACAATTTTTTGCAGTTTCGTGAAACTCTAATACGCTTGGGTCCTTTCTACATTAAGGCAAGTTTCTTTCACAGGTTATTTCATGTTGGTTTCTGGTTTCATCATGTCTTTTTCTTTCATTCCCTGCCTTACTCTTTTTATACTACAATGTTCTTGCTGTAGTTTGGCTTATGCACTTTTCATTAGCATTATTTTCTCTTTATCATACAAACTTGTTATAACTCTAAAGTAAGTTTTTGTCCGGTTCCTAATGTAAAATAATTTGACCATTTCAAAGGCTTTCCATAATGTTACATTTTTATCTGTTTTATTTCAAAATAAATCACCTGCTTTTATCTATTTTTGCCTTTACTCATAGAAATCAATAATCATGTTTCCAGTTCTTAAGCTCTAACAATAGTTACCCCCTTTTATTTATATTACTCTCCGAGGTTTTTGTTTTGTTTTTTTCTTTCTTTTTTCTGAAAACACTTAAATATGGGTGTCTCATATCATCATTACAAAGTTATATATACCGAATGAAACAAGTATACTTGTTATATTAAATTTATCAATACGGTTATTTTGTTTGACTAGTCTGCACATGAATACAGCTCGGGCAGGCGTTGAGCACTAGACCTGACATATTACCAACAGTATACTGTCAAGAACTTGCTAAGTTACAGGTACACTGGCTTCTTCCATTTTACTTCAGTGAAATCAATCAAGCATTGTAGATGCATATATTGACTTTTTCCGTTTTTCTGTTTTTGTTATCTTGTATTGATGAAAACTTAAATTTTTATTCGTGCTAGGATCAAATACCTCCATTTCCAACTAATGTTGCAATTAGATCTATTGAAACCCAGTTTGGTGCTCCTATTGATAAAATTTTTAGTGACATTAGCCCAGCACCTATTGCAGCAGCATCATTAGGGCAGGTTTATAAAGGTTTGTTACCAGCAAAAATGATAGAATTTTACTCTATTTCCATATTTGTTCGGCTTCTTGTTCTTAAATTTGGAACTTCAGAGTAATATGGACATGTTTGAGGAAGATTGAAGTGTTTAATTTTGTTGCTTCAAGTATTGCAGCTCACCTGCATTCAGGAGAACTTGTAGCTGTTAAAGTTCAGAGGCCTGGCATGTCACTTTCGTTGACCCTTGATGCTTTGCTATTCCATATGATTGGGGACCAATTTAAACGGTTTGCAAAGGCTCGCAAAGATCTTCTAGTAGCAGTTAATGAAATGGTGAGTTCCTTTACCTTAGAGCACACAAATCTAGTGTCTGCTTTGTACATGACCTATTTTTAACCTAATATTGATAAACAATATGTTAGGAGTGCTGATAATGTGCAGAGCGCTAAGCCTTTGTTAGTTTATCATATGAGAAACAAAAATTAGTTATCTCTGTACTATAGTCAGTTTGTAAGTCTGTTATCCTTCCTGTTGTTTGTTAGGATAGTTAGTTAGTTAGTTCCTGACATAAGTTGTTTAGGAAATATGCCTATTTATATTAAATATCCTTTTCTTGAGAGGGGGATTTTATTATCTGATTGTTTTAGTTGTTCGACTGGAAAGTTCAGTGAGAGGGGAGTATATTCTTGTGTACCTTTCTTTTAATTCAATAAAACTATAGGGACCAATGATTCCCTTTTAGTATTGTATTCTTTCAAAAGAGCCTAACATAATACTGGAAACCCATTTCTAACAGTATGGTTTTATTTTCAAATGTGTCTGAGCATGATCATTACACCAGCCGACTACTATGGAGACAGTTATATTTCAGTTTACATTGCAATTACTTTTTATACTATTCATTGTAAAATAATGCAACAGGTCAGGCACATGTTTGATGAAATTGATTATGTCCTAGAGGGGAAAAATGCTGAGCGATTTGCTTCTCTCTACTGTGCGTCTTCAAGTAAGCTCAACATCTGTGGCAAAAACTCCATTTGCTGTTTTCTTTGATTGTACCTTTGGCATGTCCCTAGTTCAAGTGTTCAACCATATGTTGTAATCCCAAATTCAAAATGATCATTGCTTAACCAGATCTTACTTGAAGCATTTTTCCTTGATCTTTTAAAATATCAGCTTTGAAGCAATTTACATATGAAAATCCTAGTTTGCTGGTATTCAGAACTGATGATTGTCCTCAAATATGAGAGGGCAGTGTGCATTTGTAATGTGCCATACATTTTTGTCTCTTTACTTACATGATGCATAGTTCCTTAGAATGCAATTTGGATTACTGTTTCTTTTGGTTATATACTGATGAACAGGGGCACAAATATGCAGGCGGAGGTAGTATAAAAAACAATAGAACAAAGTCAATCAAAGCTCCCAAAATATACTGGGACTATACATGCACCACTATACTGACTATGGAGTGGTTAGATGGAATTAAGCTTACAGATGAAACAGGCTTGAGTAAAGCTTCTTTGAACAGAAGGGAACTCATTGACCAGGTATGAGCCACACAAGTTTTCTTGGACACATGCTAACAACAATTTACATGCATGATATATCTCTTTCATGCCTTTGCTCGTCTGACTGTGTGTGTATTTATTTAAATTAGTATGCTTACACATATTTATGAATAGTATTAAATGCACACATGCATTTTCTTATGGCCATAATTAATTGCTTATTTACTAAACTCCACGTACTATCAATTGACGTCCTTGTATCTTTCTCATGACTTTGTAGGGATTATACTGCTCTCTGAGGCAAATGCTTGAGGAAGGTTACTTTCATGCTGATCCTCATCCGGGAAACCTTGTTGCGACAAATGATGGATCACTTGCATATTTTGACTTTGGAATGATGGGGGATATTCCTAGGCATTATCGTATTGGACTTATTCAAATGGTGAGAAATGTTTGAACATTACTCATTTTAATGGGTGTAACTTAAATTAGTTAGTGCAACATATTTTCCACCACATTTGATGGCAATTTCTTAATGAAAAAAAATGCTTGAAAAGGCCAATGTGCATTAAGGATGATAGACATGCCAACATTTGACACACAAATTGTTTTTTTCTCCTCGTATGAGGCATCATACTCATTTCTATGGGTTTAACATTTGATGTGGGTGATGTATGTCAACTTAGGAATGGTCTTCCTATTTGTGATCCATGCATGTGTTGTGTTTTGACTACTTTACTTTTCTTTATCATTTTCAAATAACTTTTTTATGATCTCTCTGAGGGTATCTGTGTCTGTCTTCCAAGAAAGTGTATTGCATATTTACAGGAAATTTCTTTTGTGATGCCAATGATATTCGGAAATATAAGAAATTGACGGTAACCCCACAATAAAGTAAACATTACTTAAAACATAACAATGGATAAATAGTAGTATTTTATTGTTAATAGAACAATGATAGTAGTAGAAGATTTCTCTAACTAATCCCTGAGAAAAGCTCCGACACAACACGATGAGGTATCCTACTTTGGCCCTAAAAGAATGTTATTCCCATCATACCTTCCGACTCCAAATAATTCCCTTTATATGTAAATAAAGATAACTTCTATTATTTAGCTCTAATGGGCCTTTTATTATTTCACTCTAATGGGCCACACTAATAATCTAATTAACCCTACTTAGCCACTCTACTAATTACTTAAACACCTTATCGTATTGGGTCCTAACAAAAATCCGTTCATTCATTGGATTCAGATATCTGTAAGCTTATTCACTTGGATGAAATGTACCTGAACTCATTGTCTGTATATTTATTATTTCAGTTTGGAATCTCTCTGTATTGTGATATAACACCTTGCTGAGATACCCAATTTCCCCTAATTGTCCGTGTCTAGTACTAAGTTTCTCTCTCTTTCAGATTGTGCACTTTGTTAATCGCGACTCTCTGAGCTTGGCAAATGACTTCCTTTCTTTGGGATTTATTCCTGAAGGGGTTGATATACATTTAGTTTCTGATGCACTGCAAGCATCCTTTTCTGACAGGAGTCATCGGACTAGTGAATCTCAAGATTTCCAGGTTTGTTTGTATGTTATTTGCATCTAAGATCAATTGTTTGTTTCTCAAGATATCCCGGTTTGTTTGTATTTTTTGTCTGCACCTAAGGATCAATTATTTGCTGAGTAATAGCTGTAGCTGGTATTATATTTTAGTCATCAGCCGTAATATTACAAAGCAGAGAGTTCAGAGTATTTTCTCATATGTCAATTTAGAGGCTTGGTAGGAACAACATTGGGAAGAACTGTCTGTGCACAAATTATGCTTCTCTATTGTGATTATTAATAGAGATAGGAATGGCTGAATTTTTAAGGATAACTCTTTGATGCAAACCCTGCTTTGGGTTAAGTAATAAGTAGTCTTTCAATTCTGTGACACGACAACTACCATTAGTAATTTATTTTTATACTTTTTATAGTCCAACTTCTTGGGACTTTCCGGAGTAATAGTCCAACTTCTTGGGACTTTCCGGGAAGAACTAAGAGGAGAAATCACACGTGAGTGAGTGAGTGAGTGAGTGAGTGAGTGAGTGAGTGAGAGAGAGAGAGAGAGAGAGAGAGAGAGAGAGAGAGAGAGAGAGAGAGAGAGAGAGAGAGAGAGAGAGAGAGAGAGAGATACCGCATTCTCGCCAAAAACCATAAGGCATAAGGTGAATGGGTCTTTTCATTTATATGGTGCTCAACATCTACTCTTCCATTCAATGTGGGACTTCTAACTCAAACTTGATACATCACAACATTCTCTCTCTCAAGTGTGAGACTCTCCACATCCTTGATGCAACACTAAAAACTACTCCCGCTCCCCTATCAAATCAAACCGGGATCTGATGCCACTATTGGGACTTTAAAGGGAGACATCCCTTCTTTACCCAAAACCTTAAGGCATTGAGTTTATGGATCCTCTCACTTATATGTTGCACAACCTCCGCTTTTTCTAAGCAACATGGGACTTCAAACTCACACTTGATACTCATAACTTACCTACTGTGACATCTATATAACAGTGCTCTAAAATCTGCCCCACTTTATTATCGCTCCATGCTGGGCTTGAAAGCCTCAAAATTGTTTCCTAAATTAATAAAATTTCATTGATCCATTCCTCACAATATCTTTAACAACCAGCAGTTTGTTTTCATATTTATCGAAAGCACAATTTCAGAATATCATGCCACTTTGTATTTAAAATTCAATCTTTCTTTGGATTTCAGGGAATCATGAACCAACTATATGCTATCATGTATGAATTTAACTTCTCCCTCCCACCAGACTATGCTCTGGTTATAAGAGCACTGGGATCACTAGAAGGGACAGCTAAAGCTCTGGATCCTGATTTTAAAGTCATTGAGAGTGCATATCCTTTTGTTATTGGGAGACTTATAGCAGACCCAAGTCCTGATATGAGAAGAATTTTGAGGGAACTTGTCATTCGTAACAATGGATCGATAAGGTGGAATCGGCTAGAGCGCCTGGTATGATATATCTAGGCTTTTCTACTCTGCCATCAAAGTAATTGTTACTTGGAATGTTGACTCCAAAGTTTTTTGAAAGCTCACCAATTTAAAACTGAAATTCACAGTTAAAGTATAACTACTTGTGTTGTATGTATCATAATAAGTTACCCAAATAGAAGGAAATTCTCTTTGACACACTCATACACAGCAAGCACATAAATTATGATCACTAAGATGTATCATGGTTTCTTTTAACCCGGCTTGCTTATTAGAATTGTACAATCACTAACCCTCTCTAGTATTTGCATTGTAAATGCAAATCCCATTTGTTTCTGCACTAAAATTTGAATATTCTTCTGGATAGAATTATTATACAACTTTGGACTATATATAGCATGATTGCCATTCTTGTTTTAGGTAGCAGCAATATCTGAACAAGCCTCAGAGCTAACTGGAGACCCTAATCCTGAAAAGTTCTCAAGTCCTTCAGTTTGGAAATTATTTGACATGCATGCTGTTGTTGATTCGACTGAAGATCTTTTGTTATTCATATTATCAGAGAAGGGTCACAGAGTACGTCTTTTCCTTCTCCGGGATATAGTAGAAGCAGCTGATGTGTTTCTACAAGATGAAGTGATTGACTGTGCATTAAATGGGAAGCCTGAAGACCAGAGGTTATTTCTCTTTGAGGTATTGTCTTTTGTTAAAAGAAATCTGTGTGTATCCAGGGCAATGGAAAGTTTATTATGGCTCCCGTGTCATGTAGATAAGTTCTTGATGGCAATGTGGGGTGAAGTACATGAGTCTTAGTATTAGAGGGACACAGTGGGATAGCCAATGATGGGGTGGTAGTAAAGGACACTGTTCCTTCAGTGTTGTTTAAACCCGGAACCCATATCCCATACTGACAATGGTGAAGGGCAAGGTTTTTTGGTTGGGTTGAGTCTGTTATGTCTGGTAGAATGAGAGAAAGGAGGGAGGGGAAGGTGACCAATGTAACTACTTAATAATTTTTCTCCATCAAAAAGAGCCTATATATATTTAAGTTTTTTCTTTTCTGAACATTTCAGGAGCGAACTATCCTCGCCAGGATTGGAAAAGGCTTTCAATACATTCGTGATGTGGTGAAGTTGGCGCCAGGGGAATGGACAGTAATGCTTATTCGAATGGCAGTAAAGCCCGAGGTTCACAAATTTGCTTTAGACATTTTTTCAGCTTTAGCTTTGCGTTCTAGTCATAGATTGCAGGTAGCTTATTGGCTCTATATATCGATAATTCTACACAAATTATCAGATTAAGTTAGAAGTACAGCTGTTTGACATTTGTGAACTAGAAATTAGTAAATGTTTCCACATCTCTTGATATTCTTTGCATGAAGATTCTAAGTTTGTTGCCACACATTCTACGGTAGTATATTTTTTTGACAATTCGTAAATAAAATATTTTGATAATTATTGTCCTTCGGCAACTTCTAAATTCTATGGATGGACAGTCTTATTCTTCTAGACAGTGGAGAAATAAAAAAAGGAAATTTAGTTAAACGCCAAACCACTATTTAGTTTTTATGGTAAATAGTTATTATAGAAAAAACATGCATTTTCTGAAAGTTTTATGAAGACGAGCAAGGTTATTGAATTCGAGTATTAATACATAAAAATGTATGGATTTGCATTTTTAAGTGCCAAAAATAAATAATTTTTCTTATAGATTCGAGATGAATTTTCGAAATGTCAAACACAAGTAAATAGGGTGAGTGATTGAATTGTGTAAAACATAACTGTACATGTAGTCATATGATCACAAGCAACACAAGTTAGTACATAATACTTAATCTTTGATGTGGATTTATGTACACTTTTTCACTAAGCTTTCCATGTAAGATGAAGTTCCCATTCTCTTGCTACCGCAATTTTTAGTGAACGTCTAATTGTAGTCATTTTTGCTACATATACAAATGTTTCATTGAAGTCTAAGTTTTTTAGTTGTGTGAATCCTTTCGCAATTAATCTACTTTTGTATTTCTCAATCTCTCTTGTAGCTTTGTACTTAGTTTCATATATATCCGTCTCCTTGAAGATAAGTGAGTTAATTCCCAAGTTTTATTATTTTCCAAAGCTTTAAGTTTTTATATCATCGCCTCCGCTATACTTGACTATTTTACTCCTTGTGAATGTGATTTTTGCTCTTCATCAATAGTGATGGCTGCAAAGTATGCTTGATGTTTTAGAAAAATTAATCATAACTTAAAAAAAAATTGAAATAGAATAAGCCATACTTGAAGAATAATTGGTCTTTGATGAAGGGCATTCAAGTTTATATCATAACAGCAACGATCCTTCAAACGAAAAGAAAACCGTCTATTTCTAGGAGATAATTGTAACTCCCCCTTAATACTGTCTCCTTTTTTGTTGTCCAAGTTTCCTTCTCCCATTTTCTCTTCTTCAATTATGTTAGGTTCACAGTTTGATGGATCCTCTTTTGTTTCATAAATTGCTTATCTCTTCATCATTGTAATTTGAAGGAATTTCATTGTTGTGGACAACATTAGGTTCTTCTTAAAGATTAAGAGTATATATTATCTCTTAGGTTCTTCTTAAAGATTAAGAGTATATACTATCTCTTTCTCTTTTGAATGATCTTTAGTTTCTCCTTGATCAAGTATTCTTCTTATACTTGATTTTAATATGTATAAAACTTGTATGATTTTTAATACTATTGGTTGTATCATATTGTCTTAAGATATATGTAAATATATGCTCATAAAACACAACATTCCTTGTTGTCGTAAAAACGTGTCTTAAATATATACTCTCCATGCTTTTTGGCCTTGAGGATAACACATTTTATATTTGCGCATTATATGTAATACTCTCTATTTTAAAATGTTTGTCGTTTAAGGTTTTTATACACACAGATTAAGAAATACAATAATTTTGTCAAAAGATATTGCACTTTTACTAAATTAGTTTTACTAATGTGTTGGAAATAGTGTACAGAGTAATACTTTTTCTTTAAAATGACAGTGATTTTGAAACGAATGGAGTATATGTTTAGATTTGCATATATATAAGGAACCGTGCATCGTTCCAGAGGTAGGTTGTGCCTCTAAGAAAGGACCAACTAAAAATAAGGAGCCATAAGAGACGAGGGAAGATAGACCGACCCATCACACACTCAACATTATCATCATACTCGAAAAATGCTTTCAATCTTCCTGGAATAGGATTTTCTTATGGTGTGTGTACTTTGGTGTGTGTATTTGTGAAGCAAGCTTATGGGACTATCGTGCTACAATTGATTTTTTTGGGAATAGTTAACTTTGAGTATCTTTTCTTTGCTTAAGTTTTGGGATTTCTAATTTTGGTTAAGACATAGTAGTCATGTTGGTACACATCATGAACAAAAGGTTTGGAAGCCATTTACACAATGTTGACTTTTGATCAACAAAGTCAATCATGGAAGATTGACTTTTTATTGATCAATTTCTTATGAGGCTTTTACATGTTAGTTATGGATAGTTTATTTGTTCTCTTGATTAAGGTATTTCAATTCAAATTCAAAGGAGCTAAAATTCAAAAGTTCAAATTATATAAATGGAGGGAAATGTCATTTACTTAAGGAACAAGTTATGTACAAGGTCAAAATTCATATTCAATATTGCAAGAACACATTAAAAAAGGTATAAAAAAATGCTGATTACGCGAAAAAAATCTTAAATTTGACCTAAGGTTACTTTTGGTCAAATAGTTGACCAAAATCAAATTGAACTCTAAGATTAATTTTTTCTTCAGCCTCATGATCTTCCATTTGTGCTCCAAATCTTCATCATTTTCATGTTCAAATTCCACATGCCAAGCTTCATGACCAAAGTCCATTCAAACATGCCATGACCAAGGCTTTATTCTTTCACCATGCCAAACTTGCAATAGCCCTACAGCAATTAAGTAAGATCAGCATCATGCTATACACCAATACACAGGCATGCAAACATTGAACCACATAAACACAAGGCTATGCATGAAATACTCTCAAGAGCCAAACATACATGATAGTTTGGACAATTCACACAACACTACCAACAAAATGTCTCCTAATTACCATACCATACAACCCATACATATTAACAACTCAAGGCACATGTACATCAATCTCAATTGTCATACAACTATACCAACACTATCAACCTACACATTCATCCAAGTATAGTATGCCATGATACATTTTAGCCTATATGCTATACATACTTGCCAACCAACCAACCAAGTAATGACAGTTCCATACACACACATACATATAGTCCACACCACAAGACTTATCATGCATACAATAAAAATCCAAGGCCTAGCAGCATACATACCATCATATCAATTCATTACACATACAATAAAAACATAGCAGCATACATTAGTAGCTCATAAATCCAAAATAATCAATGTTATGCAAGTGTGTATTTCAACATACGATGCATGCATGAAACCACCCTGCTCTAACAAGTTCCCATAACCTAATTCATCATAAGCCATCACCTATCCATTAAACAATCTTGCACCCAAGTTAATATACCAGCCATTTTGCAAAAAAAGAAAAAACAATTCCTAAGACTTCTAACTGCCAGCCCCAATCCAACTTGCAATGTAAACGTAAGACTATATTGCCCTAACCTCAACTGTTAGGCTAACTGACCAAGTCAGTTAGCAGCTATCCAAAACAACTACCCTAAGCCAGTCGCAAGCCACAAACCCTGCCCCAACTGACCAAAGCAGTTACAGCCCCCCCAACTGTCAAGCAAGTTGGCTAGCCATATAACATTGCAACAAACCAACTTATTAACCAACCGTTAACTAACTCCTTAACGAATTGCTAACTAACTGTTAGCAAATAAATCCTAACTACCATTCACTTTGCCCAATACATTAACTGTCATTAACCTAACAATTAACAACCTACTAGCCTTAACGCATACCACTAACTTACATTCTATGTCAATTACAAGTTAACTCACAACTAAGCCAGTATGACTGTCAACAAACCTCTAACTGTCATAGTTCATTAACCATTTCTAAAGTGTCATTTACCACCGAAACTAGCATCAAACTAACTTGCAACTAATCCTTAACCAATCCACCAATTATCCTAATTGTCAAGCCATTAATAAATTTGTATCTAGCTTAATATTAGCTACTAAGATCAACTTCCAAATTAACTAAACAAGCCACTAACATTACCCTAACAATTCTAACCATGCCATTAACCTAAAGCTCTAATTAATTCCCTTTTACTAAGTGTGTGAGCTACTTTCTATTGTCATTTTCAGTAACTTGTTTAACATGATTAGTTAGTTGATTAACAACTAATTACTAACGGTTACTAATTCAAACTAACTAATTCTAACTAAGTTAACTAACCGTTAAGCAAACTTCTAACTGCTGAATTAACTGAACTAACTTGATAATTCCACTCACACTAGCTCTGTCAACACTAACCCTGTTTATTAGAATAGAATATTCTACTGTTTTGTCTTATTCTCTTATTGTGCGCTATCTGTTTGTTAGGGCACAGCTGTAAGTTTGTTAGTGAGCTGTGTCATCTGTGATAACAAACTATCCCAGCTATATATAGCTACTGATTGTATTCTATTTTGCTAAGAATGAAATACAAATCAGATTCTTCTCTCTCTTTCGATTATCTTAACATGGTATCTTGAGCCTTTTTCTTTCCTGTGCTCCCATGGCTTCTCCTTTCAATTCTGAGGGTGTTTTTCCCTCTTCTCACATCAACTTTCTCACCTCATTTCTGTCAAGCTTGATGAAAGAAACTTCAAGCAATGGAAACAACAGATTGAGGGTGTGATTCGCGGCCACAAACTGCAACGGTTTGTTACGACGCCGCTTGTTCCTCCGCGCTTCCTTGTCGGCGCAGATCCGATCACCGGTGGTGCGAATCCCTTGTATCTTGACTGGGAACAGCAAGATGCGCTTATCTGTACTTGGCTCCTCTCCACTATCTCTGACTCCATTCTTCCGAAACTGGTCGATTGCACGTACTCATGGCAAGTGTGGTCTGAAGTTCAACGTTACTTCAACACCTTGCTTACTACCAAGGCGCGTCAACTTCGATCGGAGCTCCGAAATCTCACCAAAGGTTCGCGCACGATAACAGAATTCATGATTCGTGTTCGTGACATCAGCGAATCTCTGGTATCTATTGGCGACCCTGTTCTTCAGCGGAATCTCATTGAAATCGTTCTCGATGCTCTTCCAGAAGAGTATGATCCTATTGTTGTTGCGATGAACAACAA